TATCTTGATGTATTCAAATAACTAATACTGGAAAAAAATCAATAAAACCCTATATATAGACATATTTAATAATAATAAATTCTGAATAAATTGAATAAAGATAAAAACTGTAATAGTATTTTAATGAGACCAAAATCAAAGACTTCATGAATGGATCCTATTGTGACAAACAATAATGCTGTCTATCATAATGTGCACTAAGATGTGTGAGTGTGTGTGTGTGTGTCTCTCTCTGTGTGAGTGTGTGTCTGTGTGTGTGTCTGTGTGTGTCTCTCTGTGTGTGTGTGTGTGAGAGTGAGTGTGTGTCTGTGTGTGTCTCTCTGTGTGTGTGTGTGTGAGAGTGTGTGTGTGTGTGTGTGTGTCTCTGTGTGAGTGTGTGTCTCTGTGTGAGTGTGTGTGTGTGTGTGTGTGTCTCTCTGTGTGAGTGTGTGTCTGTGTGTGTCTCTCTGTGTGTGTGTGTGAGTGTGAGTGTCTGTCTGTGTCTGTGTGTGAGAGTGTGAGTGTCTGTGTGAGTGTGTCTGTGTCTGTGTGTGTGTGTGTCTCTGTGTGTGAGTGCCTGTGTAAGTGTGTCTGTCTCTGTGAGTGTGTGTGTTTGAGTGTGTGTGTGTGAGAGTGTGAGTGTCTGTGTGAGTGTGTGAGTGTGTGTGTCATACATACATTTAATGTATTGAACATATTAAAAGCAGCACTGACATATTTAAAAATGTTTCATTACAAATATCTCATTCATTCATTTTAAAGTTCCTAATAAGGAAAAGAAGTGACATCTATCATTATTAGTATTATTATTATTGTTGTTGTTGTTGTAAGTGCTTCCGTAATTCAGGCACATTGATTTATGTAAAAGTTACAGAGATGAAGCGGTTCTGCGGGGCAGAACTGACTCGTTTGTGTATATTTTTCATGAATATTCTTTTATTTGGAGGTACGTGAAGTGTTTGATTTAGGCTCTAAATAATCACACATGCTGTCATCCTGCTTGGGTTTCTCTCTTGCATCTTGGAGGCAGATGTTCTCTCCTATTTAAGGTTAGGATGAAGTCTCGCTTGGCTGCGGACGGTGTGTACCAGCGTGTGGTGGAGCGCTGTGTGTTTGCGGGCGATCAGGACCGACCTGTTTGGACACGGATCACCAGAGAAGCCTGGATCTCTTCAGGAGTCTTTGGCCTCTCCAGACCCATTCAGGTAATGCCACGGCTGAGCCGTTAGCAAACACACACTGGGGTTCATCGCGATCTGGGTTTGAGTCTGACCTAAAACAAGCAAGTGCAAAGATGACGAGACACTGGGAATGGACTTAAGTGTTGTGTTGATATGAATGGTCAGCATTATGTTGTAACACTGTGTTTGTCGTCCTGCAGGAGTTCGGTTTGGCCAGGTTCAGGAGTAATCAGGTGAAAGCGATGAAGGGTTTGGAGCACGCACTGTCCAATCTGCAGAGTAAGAGCTCCGGTTATATACACTACAGGCCTGTTCACATCGAGAACAAACATTAGCAAAACATGGAGAAGAAAACTGCCAACGAAAGGTCCACAAAATTAGCTCATATTTACATGATTCAGTGCAAAATAAAACCCATCAGACAATAAAAACTTGAGACGTTAAAGAAATTAATTAAGTTATATAGGAATGCATCACGCTATTATGTCAATCATTAAGGTTTATTGTTAACAGGTACAACTTTTTAAAAATAAAATAGTGTTTTGTACATTATGGTTAACTAAAACTAAAATTAAAACCAGTTTTTTTTACTTGAAATAAACTGAAATAAAAGTTACTGAAATAATATATATATATATAATAAATTTCAGCTAGCTGCCAAGACAACATTCTCATTTTAAATTTACTTTAACTTGATGTACTAAAATAACTAAAACTAAAATAAATAACTATATAGAAATATATGAAAAAAAACTAATAAAAATGACAAAACCACACTTCATTGATAATTAAAACGGAAAATAATAAAATATAAACTCACTCAAAATAATAAGAAAAACTATTATGGTATTTCGATACTAAAAGACGTCATTTCTTATTTTAATTTAGTTTTAACTTCATGTACTGAAATAACTACAACTAAAATAAATAACTGTATAGAAATAGTTTTTGAAAACTAATTAAAATGTCAAAAACACAATAAAAATGACTAAAGCTTTAGCTAAACTTAAAATAGAAAATATTAAAATGTAAACTGATTCAAAATACTATAAAAGTATCTCAATGATACTGAAATAACACTGGTGTAGAAATACTGTAAACAAAAACACATTCCCATTTGATCAACAACTGCTTTCCAACTAAGAGAAATATAGGAAAAAAAATAACTTTTTAAAAATAAATTGATAATTTACATACATTTTATTTATATAAATATTTATGATTTTTAAAAATATACATATTTCTTTTATTTAAATAAATAAAAGAGTGGTGTGAATAGGCCTTTATCCTATCATAATCCTGAGTCATATTTATTTGTATAGCGCTTTTTACATACACAATGTTTCAAAGCAGCTTTACAGAAAATCATGATAATGTTCATAATATCTTAACATCTTCATGCCTTATAGTGCATGTATTAGTTTAGAGATGGACGATAATATAGTGACATTTTGTGACTTTACAAGCAATCGCAGTTATTACTTCTTGACCTTAACACTCGAGTGATAAGTTATAAAGACACGCGTTTTATTACTGTAAAAGAAAAACCACAGAACAGATTAAATTATCTCAGTGTTAGTTCCTCTTTCCGTTGCTGTTTATCAGTATTACATCTGACAGCGTGAGAGTCTTCTGTAGAAGATGGAAAATAACAGAAAGTGTGATCATGTTTTCTTCTGTGTCCATCATTTCAGAAGCATCGGCCGTGTGTCCTGGAGATTCTGCCGAGAAACACGAAAACCTGAATTCAGCCTCCAAAACCCAGAAACCTCAGCAATACATATGATCAGTACGAACAAAGAGTGAATTTCATGATCACATCAGGTCACCCCCAAAAATCAGAACAAAATCAAACGCATTTTTTAGGAATTTTACAATTTGTTTGATCAGAACATTATTTTTATCACCCAATTATCATCACTGCTATGGAGATTATTTTAACCGTGAAGTATTTATTTATATATCACTGTAGCATTTGCTGTACTGCCTTTAAGCTGATTTCAATTTAAAAACAAAGTCACTGTATTGCAAAACTGTTTAACTAGAATACAGAAAGAAATTGTTACAATAATCACGACAAAACTGAGTTTATATCGCAATTCTGAGTTTAAATCTCGCAAACTGAGTTTATATCGCAATTCTGAGTTTAAATCTCGCAAACTGAGTTTATCGCAATTCTGAGTTTAAATCTCGCAAAACGAATTTATGTCGCAATTCTGAGTTTAAATCTCGCAAAACTGAGTTTATATCGCAATTATACGTTTAAATCTCGCAAACTGAGTTTATATCGCAATTCTGAGTTTAAAGCTCGCAAAACTCAGAATTGTGAGAAAAAATGGCTGAATTGAGAGATAAAAGGTCGCAATGAAACAAGCCTCCATAGAAATATGACCTGAAGGTGTTTTCATGAGAATCACTTACCCAGAGAACCCTGCGATGTGACCTTATTTCATGGCTGCTAAGTAAAGTAACGTAAAGCTCAGGTAACGGTGAATGTGAAGACTGAAGATGAAGCTCGCTGCGGAGATCATGCTGTCCTGTACCATGTGTTTAGAAATTTGATTAGAAAACTCAGGGACCGATACTTTGCAATTGTTTACAATTGATACTGTCACCCTGCAGTGTGTTTCTGACGTAATGCATAGTAGAACATACTGTATATGTATATATATATATATATATATAGTGCCATCCAAAAAAAAAAAAAACTTTTTTAGTTTAAAAACTTAAAAGACTTTTAAGCTCAAGATGAAATCTGAAATTAGAAATATTTTAACTAGTGGTCTCAGACTTTTGGACCTGGCTGTATTCAAATTTAAAATCATAAAATACATTGCTGTATAATACATAATTTTATCAAAACGGTTATGAGTTCATATCAAATAATTCACTGGATTTCAGGTCACAAGTTTAAAGTGATCCATCTCTGACAGCTGTGCCGCTCAACTGTTTTAATTAGTTTCTAGTCTAATCATATGAGAAAATGCACCATATAATTTTAATTTATAAAACTATGTTTTGTTGTAATATTTCTTTTGCTCTATTCACATGTTTCTAAGATGCTTTAGTGTGAAATTTAAGGTTTTAGAATGAAGGATATTATTGTGAAAATTAATATTTCATTGTTTTGTAGCTGTATTAATTTTGCTTGAAAAGACGAGACACGGAATCTTCGAATAAAGAAACAAATGATGAAACTCTTGTAGTTTGAGGAGCAATCAGACCGTTTTAATGATACTGTGAACACAGAATTTAAAATGTTCTTCGTTTGTACATTTAGTTTCTTTAAAAAAAAAAAGAAACAAGAAGTTTTTTTTCCAAGAAGCTGAAACCAGAACTTGCTGATTAATAAAATATTACTTCTGTCTACTTCAAAATGTCACATTTAATTCAATGTTACTTTGTAAACATTTGTGAACTTTACAAGCAATTTCTAAATGACTGTTTCTATGCCATTGTTTTTCAGTGTGTAATAAATACTAACTTTTAAAGAAATATTTAAGCAATTAAACGGATACTAAATCCAAACATAATATAGCTTTATATAGAGCCTCCAAAGTAAGAAAACAATGCGTATTACTGTATTTAAGAAATAAACTGAATCGCCCAATCATCTTCAAAATACAAAAATCTTAGAAAACATAATTAAATGTAGCATTTATTCTAACAATGTCATAATTTTTACAAAATGACACTGACCATATGAAATTAAGCTAGTAGTAAACATGACAGAAAGCAAATTATGTTCATGTAAAAGCCATCAAACTCTTTAAAACGGTCATAAAACAGCAACCCAGTGCAGAATGTCCGAGATGCTGTTTTAGGTGTGCATGTCATGTTTTATCTTTTTTGCACACTTGCGTAGACGGTGGCCTCATCAGTGTTCATCTGTCGGGATTTTGGTTTGTGAGATTTGATGTGGACTACAGATGAATATGTAACATCATCCTGCAGAGATAATAAACACACACGTTACACAATTATACTTCTGCCATATAGAATGCCAAAATTATAACTGTCAGAATGAGAGTCCAAACAGCTGATAAAAACACCACAATAATCCACAGCACTCCAGTCCATCAGTTAACATCTGGAGAAGACAAAAGCTGAAACAGATCCAGCATTAAGACGCTTTTATGAATCCATAATAACGCTTCCTCCAGTGGAAAAGTGCATCTGCTGTTATCTCTCACATCAGAATCCAGCTATATATGTGTTTAGAGCTGTTTAAACGCTGCTTGATCTGTGCAGATTTCTCTCCTGATTCAGACCAGAACACTTTTTCACTGGAGGAAGCCTTATTATGGATTATAGACTCAATGTATTTTAGTTTAAAACGTCTTAATGCTGGATGTGTTTCAGCTTTTGTCTTCTCCAGATGTTACCCACCGCCTTTCTTGGGTACAATGAAGTAGGAGCTGTAAAACCCCGTCTTCATATCGGCTGGAGGGACCGGCTTTATCGCATCCTTCGCCAATAGGACTGCGACCTCCGCCCGCAAGATAGGACCATCAGCCGCCTTCACTGTTGTGAAGCAGATGCCACTGAACTTGGGGGGGGACGCGGGCGACTGAATCGCATAGCCGAGCCTGACGGTTCGAAGGAGCCATCGAGACGGGCTGGGTAGCTCAAACCAGGCTCCCAGACACCGCGTTAGTGGCATCAACGGAACTACAGGCGTACCCGCAGTGGGGCAGCGTGGAAAAATGCAGGGACCCGGCCCAGGCATCTCATAGCCGGACCGAGGCGGGGTCTGGTGTGTGTAACACTGACCTGCGTTCGAGCAGAGGGTGCGTGGGTAGTCCGTTGGTTTGTCCTCCCGATCCGCCCTGCTGCTCACTGGCGAGAGAGGAGGGTGAGTGTGATACGCACTAGATCGTCCACAACCCCCCCGTCCCCTCTGGGGACCCAGAAATAGAGGAATTGCTCTTTGTCAAGAATTTGAGTACCACTGACCGAGAGGTGGTGGAAAAAGATGAAAAGATTCTCCACCCGGCCCTCCTCCGGGGGAGGGAGTGGTGTGCTTACCATCTCCTGAAGAGCACGTCCCTCCACCTCTGGG